CATATATTGGGAGAGCTTCGCACTATTCTGAGCTGAGCAGCAAAACCCAAACACAAACTAGTGTTTTTAATTGTCTTCCATTTAGCCGCCGACACGGCTGTGTTGTTGTTGCCCTGTAGTTCTTTGGGTCCCCCATTGACCACTGCTTTGCCGACGACTTATCCCAGTAAGCTCTTTTCCGCGATCAAAAAACGGATGTTTGTATTTTAATTTCACCTTCCCGGCGCTTAAATAATTAAACATCTGCGGCTCATAGTTCAACATCCATACAGATCCAGAATTTAAATTTGATTAATTAATTTAAGTTAATTAATTTTTAATTTAACCTTTTCAACTTAGCCGCCGCAACGGCCGTGTTGTTCTTGCCGCTTAGTTGTTTTGAGTTCCGCACATATGCACTGCTTTGCCGACGGCATGACCCATTGAGTTTCCTTTCAACCAAAAGCCAAGGGCTTATTTCGACCATTTCGGATCCGTGATAAATAAATTTGACAACAATTAATTACTTCCGACCAATACGTTCCTAAATCCGTATTTAATTTATTACGGGATCCATCCACATTTCGTGACCAATTCCAAAATACAAAATAATTGTAATTTCAAATTAAAATAAAAATTAGTCCTGAATTTTAATTACGGCCGATTCCGTCACTCCGTTTCGGATGATCCCATCTCCGCGACCCTCCCCGATTAACTTAAAATCCACTGCTCGACCACAAAAATGGCTCAAACGACATTGCGTTGAGGAAGTTTATTGCCACGACAGACCGTGTGAGTCAATTTGAGGCAAAGATCCAACCTCTAGACGCCCCAGAAACCACCCAGCCCTCTCCTTCCACGTGTAAAGTGCGTCGCGATCAGATTCCAGCACTGTGGGAAAAAGTCGAAAGGGATTACGATATTTGTTCTGAACTTATATCGGCATCCGGTGAGAGTAATACCATCGGGCTAACGCTCCAGTCCAGATATGAGCATTGTTTCTCGGTCTATGAAAGATGTAGTGCCGACCTCCAAGAGTTGATGGAAAAGGGCGCTTCTCAGTCCGTGACGATTTCCCCAAAACTCGTCCGTCCCGGAGTCCGCTGGTTTTCGCCTGCCACCGGTGGACACCGAAACTTTCGCTGGTGACTGTCTTCGGTGGCCCACATTCAGAGACCTTTTTACGGCGGTTTATATTCACAACTCGCGTCTCACCCCGGTGGAGAAATTGTTCCACCTACTATCCAAGACAACTGGCGAAGCTCACGCCATTGTTTCCAAAGTCCCGCTCACCAATGAGGGGTTCGTCGCAGCTTGGCAAAGCCTCACCGACCGCTTCGAGAACCGGCGGTTGTTGGTCAACAGCCAGTTGAAAATCCTTTTCAACATCCAGGCTATCCCCAAGAGTCCGAAAGCGCGCTAAGGGAGCTGCAAGGCACTATCCAGAGTTGTCTAGCGGCATTAGAGATGACCGCCATTCAAGTCGAAGCCTGGGACTGCCTCTTGGTGTACATGGTTTCCTCGAAGCTCCCCAAGCTCACGCTCTCCAAGTGGGAGCAATCTATCCACAATAAGGACAAAATTCCAACTTGGAACGAGCTAGACGCGTTTCTGACTGAACGCCATCGTACGCTGGAGGCCATCGACGACGTTACGCCTACCAACTCAAGGCATTTTCCGCCAAAATTGTCGACTCCTAGGGCCCCAGCGCCCCGGCTTCATTCTTCCGACTTCAGAGTGACTCCAACACCCAGACCCAGAAGGTGTGACAAATGTTCCAGGGAAAACCATCCCCTGCGAAGATGTCCCCGTTTCCTTAAAATGACCGTAGTCGAAAGGTCAAATATTATCCGAAGAAAGCAACTGTGCTTGAATTGTTTGGCACGAGGCCATCAGCAGCGGCCGCAGACGGCATCACACCCTGCTGCATCCCAGAAGCTGTTCCTCCAGTGTTCAGATTGCTCCTGAACCTTCCAGCCCAGTAACCGCACCGGTCCAAAAAATATCCGCGTTCCCCACGCGAATCACTACTCCCAACGCCTTCAATTACTGGGTACCCTACGACAACAAGAGCAGACGTTCCCGAGGTATTTTATCCTACCCATGCCGAGTCTGCAGAGGAATCCATCCGCTTCGAAAATGCCACAAGTTCCTCAGGCTTAGTGCTGAGGAGAGGCTTAGCGCGGTGTCCACCAACCGCTACTGTTCGAATTGTTTGGCCCAAGAACATTCCCAAGGCAAGTGCCGCAGTGGTGACCGATGCAAGACGTGCAATCAGCATCACCACACGCTCCTGCATAGGCCGGGAAGTCCAGTTCCCGCACCCCGATCGCAGCATCGGATGACTCCGTGCTCCCAATTTGCGTTATATACTGACCAATCTTCTAAATGATATATTTTTCCAGTCCGCTTCGAGAAGATGCCACCGCTTCGCACCATGCGAACGCTCTGATCAGAGGTCCAATCCAACCGATTCCGAGGTTGCCACCGAACTTCATCCGCTACCGACGTCGACGTCTCCTCTAGGATCATGCGCCTCTCCCCGCCCTCCTCAGCCACTCCACGGCCTCCGTCCACCGCTCCACTCCGGTGCGCATAGGCAATTTCCGCCGCTAGCCAGGACACCCTGCAGAACGCGGCAGTGCTTATACAGGATGAATATGTTGCAACCCGAGTTGTTGCAAGGGGGGGGGGAGAATGTTCACGTCAGAAGGCCCTTCGCGTCAGTCACTTTCGCGTCAAGCCATCTGTGTGTTATATTTAGTACGTTTCATGAGGTTGCAGCTATGAAGCTGTTTTCCTTTCCCACGTTTGGTTTTGGCTTCTCTTAGGGCTCTTGAGTTCTTTTAGTGGAGCTGGCCTGAGGGGTGCCATGTAGCACGAAGCTACCAGGAGGCGCTTCTTCTTGCTTTCTAGCATGACCACAGTCAGGTCATCAGACCTGTAATAAAAAACAAGGTTAGCTTGAAGACCGTTCCGTACGAGTATGGCAGTTAATTTCCTGCATACCCATGGTGGGTAGAATGCGATGCAGTTTGAGGACTGTATTTCGGCAACGGCATTGCCAGAGGCAATCCATGGCTCTTGGACATCCGCGAACACTTTCTCCATGGCAATGAGGATCATGCTTTTATGGAGATTGAGCAGTAGCACCCTGAGGGACATGGGAACCGGGCTCAACTTCACTCGACGGGTTGGCTACTAACGTCAGGTCACCGTCCTCCTCCTACACAGACTCGTCTAGCGGTAGATCCTAGGCGACGTCATCTATGGTTTCCAGACCTAAGTCTTTCCCAACCTCCCCTGCTTTAAGGATATGCGCATCCTTATCACCGTGGTGGCGTTTTTTGAGACGCATTTATACGCTACTTATGTCCCACATTATCTTTCCGTATCTGGGATAGGGATGTTTTCTACCTCCTTTTTTATAGAGTGGTCTACCCATTGGCCCCCCTATTTGGTTAACGTCCTCATAATGTGCAGTACTTTCCAGTCCGCGGTTGGGAAGCCCGGATTCTGACGCTGCAGCAGCTTTGGCGCTCGGTCCCTTTGAATAGCGATGGACTTTTTCGCATTTGAGGAGAGTCTGTTTACTTGGGTCCGTAGCGTCCTTAATGTCACTCACGGCAGAGCTTTGCCTTCTTGAAGCAAGTATCCGCTCCACATTGTTGGAATTCTCCCGTGGAGGTCGCATTGGGAGGCTAGGCAAAGTACAGCCTTGTCTTTTTAATCATTTCCAGCGCCCTTACACTTCCTTCATGGGATAGGGCTGCGTTTCCCTGGTGGCGACTTTTGATAATGGTTATTGTGTTTTGTAGTTAGTTGATTTCTCCACATTATTCAATATTACTATCTAGGTTAAGCGACATTTTCGGTATTCATGTTGGGCTCTTATGTGTATGACTATTATCCTCTTTATCTTTGGCAGGTTGAAGGAGACAAGGCTGATTGGCCTGTAGTCGGAAAAGCAATATGTGCGTTAGTTTGATGCATGCCTTATATATGGCTTTAGGTGCCCCATAAATGGTTCATGTGCTCTTTAGCAAGGTTCATGCTTAGCCTTGCCATGTCCTTTATGTCTTCTATTGCTTTGCAGAATCTTTTGGAAAATGACAATGACACATTCCCATTTTTGACCGCCACTTTCGAGATGTCGCTCTGGTCTTTCTGGATGACCCCAGCTGATTCTGTGACCGATCACGCTTCGCCTTGTGAGGCTTTCTTAGCAATCTTGTTAAGTATGAAACGGGCTTTGCTAGCACTATTGCATAACTTTTGGTGTGTTATCGAATCTACTGAGCAAATCCACACCTTTTTAAGCTTTCATTTTATTTTGCCCGGCCTGGCAAGTGCAATTAGCTCAATGGGTTGTGAGGCGGCAAGGTTACTTACGACCCATTGTTGTCCGATCATGGCAAGGCTTTGAACAAACACAGCTGAACATATAACTCTCACCTGCGAACATAAAACTCAGCGGGTCACTTCACGTGACTCGGTCATTTTGCAGTCATACTAAGAATACTAGTTTATTTTTTCAGGGAACCACTCACTAACGTTTTATGTTTACCTCCATACACCTCTAGCCATGACTTATGATTAATTTTATCCGGGTTTTAGGGCGGGAGGAATTGAACCATTGCCTTAGCTAGACACTGTATTATCTTGGACGGAGCAAGCCTCTTTCCCGTTTTTCGGGAAAATAATTTATATTTATTAAACTAGTAACTGTTTGATCACGTTTGATTGTCCTTTAGACAAGTAGATTTCTCCTTCTTTACTTACCTTCAATAACTAACCCTAGAATGTTGCTAGACATTGTCATTTCTGTACATCTGTAATTTTATCGGAGGTGGTGTGGTGGGTAATGAATTGTTAAATCAGCTTTATTTCCACATACCGACCACAAAAACTAGTTCCTACTTACTTTTAATTTTGTAGCGCTGTACCACATCGTAAGAAATTCTTGAACCCTTTAAAAATGTAGACTTTCCTTGACCCCTTAATAGGTTGAACAAATCAAATAAATGCAATTATTACATTTATTAAAAATAATAAAACAGGTACATTTACGGATATCTACTATCGGATTCTGAGGAATGTTTGGAACTTTTATGATTATGATCCGTTTGACTTTGCCGCTTATTAAGCTGTGTGCTTGATGTATTCTCTGGAAAATCTTCTTTAAATCGTGTCCATTTTATAAGAGTCTCTGGAGATCTATATAAAAATATAAGCTTTCCATATAAGTCCTCTTCAAGCCGATACTCCTGTGTTTCACGTACTAAATATATGTCGTTGCACAACTTTAAAACTCGATCGACATATGGTAAATCTTCAAACATTATTCTTCTATGATTGTTTGTAATAAGAGATCGAATTATCTTAGAAACCACATAAACAGATGTAGTATAGATCCCAATTATCCTAATAAAAGAAATGAATTATAAAACAAACAATTTTTGACAACATAATTTCTTTTAAAACATACCCAGCTTTTTCTAAAAAACTCATCGCTGAAGGAAAAGATTTATCATTGAATATATATAGAACAACTCCATCTTTACAGTTACTAAGTGGTAGAAACGACAAAATATCAGAGTAAAAAGTATCATCGCAGTAATCATACATTTCCCACCATGCTCTATCATCGTCTTTCTTTTCTCGCAATATCATGGGACGCGTAAATTTTCCTAAAAAAAAAGTATGAAGCTATTATGGCATGTTAACAAAATTTTTTATTTATATAATTTTTTGTCGGATATTTAATCCCATTGTTTGTTTCTACACAATCAATTAAAAAAAGAAGGAGGGTACTTTCAGGACTCGTAAGTTTTCATTTTCTGTCAGTCTGCAATTAGATCATATGCCTTCTCTAACCCTAATTTCTTATCATTATACCTGCAATGTATTATAATTTTATTCAGAAGTTTTCTTTTCCGGCCCTATAACGTATACATATAAATTGTTAGAATTTCATTATTTCATTTCCTTTGTTTCAAGTCAAGTATGGTATGGAGAGGGTGAAACTGTTTCGCATCGGCAAAAAGTTTAGTACCAATCTTTTCGGTAGTTGTTCGGCATTTTTTGAGAGCAATTGATACAGTTATACTTTTAAACTAAACACATGTTCAACACATGTTTGAAACTAAACGCATGTTCAACATGTGATGCTTGGTTTTTGATTAAAATTTGTCTCAAAACGATTGGTTTGTATTCTAACGTCGCACAGCAAACTGGAATACCTGTACAAGGAACTCGGATGATTCGATACAGATGGATAAATATCCGGTTCATGAAAGACATGGTGTCACCAGTGGTTATACCTATGATGTACCCATTGAGGAGTCAGTCCAGAATAAAACTGGCAATCGAAATCGGATGACATCCACAAGAGCCCACCATATCGATCTAACAAAGTCTGGCGTTTATTAAACTGTGCCAGGAACATCGAGATCTCTCAGATAGACAAGGCGAGTTGGGGAGCTGTCCGATTTCGTCCCTTATGGCCTAGATATTTCTATAATATATATTTCTTCAAGGATCCCCTCTTCCTTAAAAATTAATATTATTGCCAAAAACCCGTTACTAAATACTATTAAAATATGCAAAGGAGCTATAAGAAAGAGCGAGTGGCAAGTGTTCGAGAACAGTCTGATTTAATGCAATTTGTATTCTTTTTCGTACCTTGCTCTAGAAAAAGTATTCCGTCAGAAATCTCCTAACGCAATCCAACTTTTTAGTATTTTTAATATCGTGTCTCCGTACAGGCCTAACCAACTGATAGTTTTAAGACATTTGCCTCTCCCACTCTCTCACAGCTTTAAAACGGTGTGGTACCGTCTCCATATATTATTTTAATGTAAATTAGGATAATCAGAAATAGAAGATTAAGGGACTATAGTCACACTGACACTATCTTTCATCTTTCCAAGTGAACGGACGTGTTTTTTACTTGCGCTCTCGTTTTGTATTAAAGTTTGAATCTAGCCACCGGGGTTAACTTAAATTTTGTAATTTGTGTTTATAACTTCCCGTTCACTTCGCGTGTGCATGCAGCTATGCGTTTTAACGAGTTTTCGTAAAACTTTTGATATGTTCTTGGCGCTGGACACCCAATTTAATAGCCTTACACTATTAAGTGAGTCTCCTAGACGCAAAAAAACTGCTATTGGTGGGCAGCATGTAGACGGACCCAAAATATCTGCAACGGGCTCTCAGCAGCAGCCTACCTCGGCACAGCCCTCGTCCTCAGCATTAATTCCAAGAGTGCTAAGACCGACCGGTAGAAAAGATTCGGTACCCGGGAGTGCCCGTACCGCCGATGATTTCTGTTTTGTCCCCTGGGGGGTCGAAAATATTGACCCCTCAAAGTCCCGTGTATAATGACATATCTGCCCAGGGTGTTAGGCCCGGAATACCGGGCGACAATGGCACGGCAGATAACCAATCTGCCTTGCCAAAAGCCCTTATAGCTGTTCCACCAACGAGACATATTTTTGTCTCGCGGCTCTCCCCTGACCAAACATCGGAAGATGTTCTCGCCTTTATACAAGGCAACACCATTGCCGAAAAAATTATGATAATGGTGGAAAGTTTAAATTTTCTTACCCTAGGGATAGTTCGTCTTTCAAAATAAATGTCCCTAACGAGCTCTTTTACACTATTTGCTCTCCCAACTTCTGGCTAGAGTACATCGTTGTTAAGGAGTTCGAGGCGAAGGAAAAGAAAAAGCGGGATAGGAATAACTCTTCCCAGGCCTGATGATACCACTGCGCCTTCTACGACTTCCAAAAAACTAACCTACTCCTAAGGTATTTCCTATCAGAATGCAGAAGGCTTACGTAGTAAGCTTCCTAACTTGTATTCTGATAGCCTTTCGTTTGCATCTCAGGTTATTGTGCTCACAGAAACCTGGTTAAAGCCGAATATTCTGAGCTCCGATATTTTTCCAGCTGTGTTCACAGTATATCGGCTAGATCGCCCTATCAGACGCGGGGGTGGAGTTCTCAGGTCAGAAATATTAAGCTTCGAGGAATGCAAATATGTTGAATTCCTCTGTGTGAAAGTATCTTTAAAAGGTTTCTCCATTTTTATTACCTGTTCCTACATACCTCCACTGTTGGAACTTCTTATTTATTGGAATTACCTTTCCGCTATTCAGATGGTTTCCAGTAGACTTTTGGATAGAGACCAGTTGGTAGTTCTAGGTGATTTTAATATCCCTGGTGCTATTTGGTGCTCAAATAATTCCACCAATACTCTCCATATACCTACACAACATGACTTTATCGCTGGCTTGTTTGAAATTTCGCTGTCTCAAGTCAACCTTGTGCGAAATTCATTACAGCGCTTGCTCGATCTTTGCTTCGTCTCTGATCCTGCGAGAGTCAGTTTAGCAAGGGTGGCGCCTCTGACGCAGCCCGAAGATCCTTATCATCCAACTTTCGATGTGACTCTTGATATTGGGTGTGACGTATAGAATATTTCTGACCGTCCAGTCAATAAAGTCCTATGTTTTCGTAAGACGGACTTTGAACGGCTGAATAATTTTATAAACGAGTTCAATTGGTCCGATCTATACATGTGCACTGACATGGCAGTTGCCGTGGATATTTTTTACAGTGCCAGGAATTCATTTATTACTAAATGTGTTCCGTTATATTATCCGCCAAGCTCGAATAAACCGCCATGGTTTACTAAAGAGTTGAGCCGACATAAAAAAATAAAAAATTTAGGCTGTATGCTAAATTTAAATTCACCGGTTCTCAATCTGCCCTTTCATCATATTTATCAGCTCGGTCAAACTTTAACGTGCTGAACGCGCACTAGAAATTGACTACCGGCGTGCTGCCAGGTTGTTTGCTTGCATGTTTACTAAAGACTTTAATTTGGAAAGGCTATCTAGTATGTTGGAGATTAGTGTGTATTTCTATAATATATATTTCTTCAAGGATCCCCTCTTCCTTAAAAATTAATATTATTGCCAAAAACCCGTTACTAAATACTATTAAAATATGCAAAGGAGCTATAAGAAAGAGCGAGTGGCAAGTGTTCGAGAACAGTCTGATTTAATGCAATTTGTATTCTTTTTCGTACCTTGCTCTAGAAAAAGTATTCCGTCAGAAATCTCCTAACGCAATCCAACTTTTTAGTATTTTTAATATCGTGTCTCCGTACAGGCCTAACCAACTGATAGTTTTAAGACATTTGCCTCTCCCACTCTCTCACAGCTTTAAAACGGTGTGGTACCGTCTCCATATATTATTTTAATGTAAATTAGGATAATCAGAAATAGAAGATTAAGGGACTATAGTCACACTGACACTATCTTTCATCTTTCCAAGTGAACGGACGTGTTTTTTACTTGCGCTCTCGTTTTGTATTAAAGTTTGAATCTAGCCACCGGGGTTAACTTAAATTTTGTAATTTGTGTTTATAACTTCCCGTTCACTTCGCGTGTGCATGCAGCTATGCATTTTAACGAGTTTTCGTAAAACTTTTGATATGTTCTTGGCGCTGGACACCCAATTTAATAGCCTTACACTATTAAGTGAGTCTCCTAGACGCAAAAAAACTGCTATTGGTGGGCAGCATGTAGACGGACCCAAAATATCTGCAACGGGCTCTCAGCAGCAGCCTACCTCGGCACAGCCCTCGTCCTCAGCATTAATTCCAAGAGTGCTAAGACCGACCGGTAGAAAAGATTCGGTACCCGAATGTGCAGCGGGAGTGCCCGTACCGCCAATGATTTCTGTTTTGTCCCCTGGGGGGTCGAAAATATTGACCCCTCAAAGTCCCGTGTATAATGACATATCTGCCCAGGGTGTTAGGCCCGGAATACCGGGCGACAATGGCACGGCAGATAACCAATCTGCCTTGCCAAAAGCCCTTATAGCGGTTCCACCGACGAGACATATTTTTGTCTCGCGGCTCTCCCCTGATCAAACATCGGAAGATGTTCTCGCCTTTATACAAGGCAACACCATTGCCGAAAAATTATGATAATGGTGGAAAAGTTTAAATTTTCTTACCCTAGGGATAGTTCGTCTTTCAAAATAAATGTCCCTAACGAGCTCTTTTACACTATTTGCTCTCCCAACTTCTGGCCAGAGTACATCGTTGTTAAGGAGTTCGAGGCGAAGGAAAAGAAAAAGCGGGATAGGAATAACTCTTCCCAGGCCTGATGATACCACTGCGCCTTCTACGACTTCCAAAAAACTAACCTATTCCTAAGGTATTTCCTATCAGAATGCAGAAGGCTTACGTAGTAAGCTTCCTAACTTGTATTCTGATAGCCTTTCGTTTGCATCTCAGGTTATTGTGCTCACAGAAACCTGGTTAAAGCCGAATATTCTGAGCTCCGATATTTTTCCAGCTGTGTTCACAGTATATCGGCTAGATCGCCCTATCAGACGCGGGGGTGGAGTTCTCAGGTCAGAAATATTAAGCTTCGAGGAATGCAAATATGTTGAATTCCTCTGTGTGAATGTATCTTTAAAAGGTTTCTCCATTTTTATTACCTGTTCCTACATACCTCCACTGTTGGAACTTCTTATTTATTGGAATTACCTTTCCGCTATTCAGATGGTTTCCAGTAGACTTTTGGATAGAGACCAGTTGGTAGTTCTAGGTGATTTTAATATCCCTGGTGCTATTTGGTGCTCAAATAATTCCACCAATACTCT